TTTGCTACTAGTAGAAGTTTATAAGGACATAGCTTATTAAATATCAAAAGATCAATGCACAAAAGCAATGCAGAATTTTTTTCATAAAGCCACTTATAATTACAAAACAATTAGTTTAAGAAGAACCAAAGAAGCTGATTATTTACCTACAAATTTAAAGCTTGTGGTCTCTAAGAGACCTTTCTGATGATTCCTAAAATTTAAAGCGGTAATTTCATGCCCCCCACATAACATTGTTGAGAGAGCTCCACATAACCTAAAAAAATTGGTGCCTGTACCCATCTTGTTCTAAATCTCCCAGGGAAGGGGCTAATGAGCAAACAAGAGGAAGAAGGACCAAAGGCTGAACAGCTTTTCCTCTGGATGCCTACTTCAGAAAGAATCCAGAGTTTGCCATAAGAATAACAGATACTAGAGGAGTCTCCCAGGCTTATATACTACTGGAAGTGAGCAGTGTATTAGCAACCAAGCCTGACAATTCCCACAGAGATATTTCCTGAGGCACTGATAATAAACTGATGTTTATTTTTTAAGGGACAGTCAAGGCAGTCAAATATTTTTTTACAAACATTTCCCTGAACACTTGCTTCCCCTCCCCTACATTTCTTTCTATAAATATATTTTTGTTTTTTTGTTGATGAGTTTTAAGGGAATACGTTAATAGACTTGCAATTTTTTTTCTTTTTAGGATATCTTCAGTTTTTTATTTTTATTTTTTAAGAGGGTGTAGGTGGAAGAGAATTGCTTAGGGAAAATCCTTTTGGAGTTGAAACACTTTCATTTGAATATTTCCACGATCATTGATCTTCCATGCAGGGCTTCATTTATCACTTTAGACAGCCCTGCTCTTGGTTCTGTTTCTTAATGTGTTACCAGAGGCTTGTCCTCCTATATGTAAATCAGTTATTTTAGCATAAACTCTCCTTTGTTTGTCTATTATCCTTTATTTTACTACCATCTACCATGACCCAGGTACTACAGATTATAAAGAATGAGATAAAATCTCTCCACCCACAAGGTACTTACAATCTAGTTGGAAAGACAAATCACATACACACAAAACAATTAATAATATAGAATTATATAAGGTACCAGCTTAATATTGTAAGGCATTGTGTCGTGCATTACAGAAAATTGAGATGAAGCTCTAAAATCTAAAGGGAAAAAAAAACTTTAAAAAGAAAGGAGTTAGTTAGTTAGCATCTAGACTGGGCCCAAAGGTAGACTGAGGATAATATGATTAGGAGGTAGAGTAGTTAGTGACAGCATTAGGGAAGGGGCTAGAGTAAGAAGGAAAATAACAATGTTATTTAGTTGCCATATATTAGTATAACATTAGCCCATGTTTTCATTGTAAACCTAAATATTATGTTTATTTTATATAGAGGCATACTATGATATTTCAAACCCCAGAAAACCTGTGATTTTTATGAGTCATGGGTAAAAAAAGCCACAGGAGATGGACTTCTTGAAAAGTACCTTTGTGTCATTCTTCATGAGATGCTGCTGTTAAAACAGTTAAATCCTTGTGTACTTGTATTTGTAGGAGTTGTTTCTTTAAAAGCATTTTTAAAAAGCCGTTGGTGAAAAAATCCCTGTTTAGTGACCATGAATGAGACTAGAGGAGAAGATCATCTTTTCAGATAGGAAATAAGAAGATAAAGATAAATTTATTTTTAGAGGAAAATCTACTTTCTGAGTAATTAAAGTGTTTCTATCTGATAAAGAGCTGAGTGTAACAATTTCTAGGTCTTATGAAAATCTGGTTTGTCTTATTTCAATGATGGATAAAGGCAGTAGAATGAACTGGCTGCTAAAATGGTGAATAGTCATGTGGGAAAGAACTCTCAGACAAGTAGGAAACAAGCAGGTATCGCGAGACCGCAGGAGCAGTTGATTCCCAAGTGGAGCCTATTTCGAGTGAGAGAATATAATAAGTGTTTGCATGGAAAATGTACTTTCAGGTTACTTTTTTTGAACACTGAAAGCTTAACTTTAAAATGCAAGGTATTTGTCAACATTATCTGAAACACCGGACTGGAGGCAAATGTTTCAACATATTTGTTTTCTTACAATTAAAGTTAAGCTGACATGTTGAAAAGATGGTCTTCAAAGATATATTCAGAGGTTGCTAAATTTTTGTCAATAATTAGCCTTCATGTTGCTTTATAGACAAGGAAGTCATATTTTTTTTCTCCTCACATTTGCCAAGTAAGGATTTTCACTTTTAAATTTCCTCATCCTGGTGTTTGCATTTAAGCATTTCAAACAGACTCTTCACCCTCAGCCACCATGTGTAGTATTGCATTTATGCATTCAACTTCTTACTCAAGTGATGCTATTTTTTTCTGCCTCAGCCTGACAGCCACTAATAATAACACATGAGGACAGTCAGACAAAATGAAGACAAATGCTGCTTGTCGCAGCAGAATCATAATGTCTCCAGACTCAGTAAAGACAGTCTAACTGTATGTGGATGCTCTTTATAGCTTATTTAGACCTGTGGTTTTTCCCTGTGGTTTTTTTTTTTTTTTAAAGCACAAACATTGTGCAGAAATACATTAAGGCAACATATGGGCCTGTTAGTTAGCCAAAACAATGTGGAACCATGGAGAATAAAGATTGCAAAGCACAGATGGATACTGTAAAAAATTCATGAGTGGCATAACAGATCTAAAAGGTAAATTTTAGTCAAAATTCAAGTGGAAAGCATAGGAAATACTTAAGAATTTGGCTTTATGAGGTTTTTCAAATCACACAAGATGAAACATTGTGAATATTTTGCAGATTTGTTTATGCCATAATGTGAAAATCAGAGCTCATCATTCAACAATAATTATGTCTATATAGATTCATGCCATCAGAAGTAGATTGCTGATAAACAATAGCGCTTGCTTCTATTTGATGTAAACGATGCAGTATTAAATATCCATATTATTTCCAGCTCAATATTAGAAAGTGTCAGTCATTGTGACAAGCCAGGCAAAAAGAGTTCATTGAGCCGTCCTCTGTGTAGCCAAGTGCTGTCGAATAACCAGGTTTTCATGCTATATTACTTTGTTGTTAAAATTGAGTTTTAAGCAGTAAATTGGCAAATCATTTTTCCCTCTTTTACATTTGGTTCTTTTAACCAAACTTGAAACCTCAAGGAGACACTGGATTTGTGTGCGTACATAATCAAGATGCACCTGAATTTTGCAGAACACTTGTTTTTTGACATTGTCATGACTGTGGCTCATCATTTTTATTCTTAGGGGGAAAAAAGTTGCATTTCAAGTATAAGACCAGTCCAAAAAAGGTATGCCATTGAACCTCACTATGGCCAACCTTGTCCATAAAATTTCTCTAAGAGCAATTCCTGAACAAAGGAGTGTTGCCTAGTGAAATAGTTAATTGGGTTTTTTAATTTTCAGTGTGGTAGGGAGAAAGCAAAAAGGGAAGGCAATTGTTCTACACATGTGAATTTTTAATTGCAATAAGTAGACCTTGTAAGTTAAAGCAACCTCTAAAAAGACAATAAAATATTAACCATAGAAACATTTCCCACTTTTTTTATGTCAAATTGAGAATGATGTCATGTGGAATTCAGATATGTTTTGCCGTTTTATTACTAGAAAGACAAAGCATAGTAAACTATTCTCTGTGTGAAGATTTAGATGATTTTCAACGTGATCTGCTAGGTACTTTAAAATCTTAAACACTGGGTAGTCAAGTTGTATAGAACTTACTTTTTTATAGTAAATAGGACTGTTAATGAAGAAATTTACAGAGAGATCAATTATACCATGAAAAGACACTAGTTTATTATTTAAACAACCAGAAAATTATTTGGTACTAAAAAGAAAGATGTTTAGATTGCAAGTAGACACTATGAATATAAAGTAAATGAGTTAACTTATTGAATTGGACTAGTTTTGAATTTTTGTGGGGTTTTTTTTAATAGGTAACATAAAAAAACATAGGGACAGGTATTGCTTGGCTTTTCATTCTTGGCACTAATGTCACTGTCGGGACCTTGAGATAGCAAATTGAACTTTCTGATAGTTGTCCTAATAGCTCTTGCAGGCTGTTTTTGGTGTCCTTAGTGAATTAAAGTTTGCATTAGTGAACCCACTGAGCAGCGGCCAAGACTAATTCTCAGTTCTGTATGACATTTCACACATTGTCAATTCTTAGTAAGTGTTATATGATAACATTTTGAGATCCTCATCTGAGAGTTGATGGGGAAATATCAAATAGTATATGTGAGGTTTGCCAACTAAGATGAACCCAACTCAAAAGTATGAATAGGGGATAGGTAGAGAAGGCAGTGTTCTGTTGCCTTTAAATAAAAGATTTACTTCCAAAATTTAACAACAAGGTCTGACAAAAAAGTAATGAAGCAAGAAAAAGTAATGAATTGCCAGAGAAAGACATGGAAAAGTAAAAGAGAGAAAGTTACAGGTTAAAAGGAGAAAGGAGAACAATGTTCCTTCCATACTGATTATACCTTTTGTCCCTGTGGAGATTCTAAGAAGGATATTAAAAAATGTCAGATATTTTAGAAATATGTGTGTATACAAATATGTTTATGTACCTTTTCCTATTAGTATGTAAACTTTGTGAAGGGAGGGTCCTTTTTGTTTCCTGCTGTATTATCTCCAGCACCTAGAAAAGTACCTGCTAGAGTAGACACTCAATATATATTTGTTGAGCTAATGCACTTCTTAAAAAGAATATAATTTTGCATATGCTCCCACTGTTATCTAAGGAATTATAGATCTTTGGGGCCCTCCTTTAAAGTGTTAGTTTGATTAATACTTAGCAACAGTGATTGCTGTAAAGGAGGACATTTCAGTTTAGAGATGTGACATCTTGTGTGGTGAAGAGAAATGGAATAAGGAGCTTTTAAAATTCAGTAGAATTAATTCATCTTTCTTCCTTTGATAGAGGACCCCATAATGATCAGGTCACTTGGTTTATTCAGCATAGAGTATATGCTGGGGTGTGGGACAACCCAGCAATAAACATGTTTGATAAACACATCCCTAGTGTTGTTCTACAGTAGCTCAAATAGTTATAACATTCCCTGTCTCCCATATTTAGGTAGTGTGAGGAGCAGAATCCACTGGACATTGTGAAGGCAGGTTAGAATTCTCCATTAGCAAGTTTTTTTGGGTTGCCTGAAGAAGTCAGAAACTATGACTTCAGACCTAGGTAACCAGAGATCAAGAAGGGCATAAGTAGCCTAAGTAGCTTATTGATGGTCAAGACTTTTACAATTAATTCTACCTGCTGACATCGTCTTTTTGGTTTTTTATGAGATTCAAATATTTAATTTAATCTTGCTTAATTTATGCACTATCAGTAAGTTTACTCCAGGGACATGTGAGGTGTAATTGGTTGCATTTGACATTATCTTCAATACATAATTTTACTCAAGAATGCCTTGCTAAAAGTCACCCAAAACAGAATATGTAACAGGAAATGCACATTTTTATTCGGATCCTACCTTGATCCATGTCAGAGTATGTAGTATGCATTAATATCCATTTTTTAAATTTGTTGTTGCTGGTCAAAAATGTGGGGGGGGGGTGTTTTTAAGAAAATGTTGAAAAGGAAATAAATGTACTTTAATTCAACAAACATCCTTTGAAAACCTTTTATATGCTAGGCACTGAGAGATTCCGTGGGAACAAGTAAAGTTCCTTGTGTACCTTTGGGTCAAGGAAAAAAAGTAGATTTTAAACAAATAATTACAGATGTGAAGCATGTTAAGAGAATGGCACTATGGTAGTTTATAGCAAAGTAAATTAACTTAGGTCAAAAGCAAGTCAAAGAGAATGATAGGTTCTAGAAAGTTATGGTATATTGAGAGGGAGAGACTGAGAAAAAACCATCTCTCTCATCTTTTTCAGAATTAAATATTTAAAAAATGCTGATTGGATGTCAATCGTGTGTCAAGCAAATTGCTCAACTCTGATGAGCAAAAACAAACAAATACAGTTCCCATGAAGGAGACATATTAAACAATCATACATGAAAACAAAATTGCAGCTATAACAGGTGCTACTAAGAGAGACAAATGGTGCCACATGAGCATGAGTTGATTTGGAAGGTTAGGTTTGGAAGGTTAGGTTTCCTTGAGAAAGTACTGAAAACTAGATGATAAATTGGCATTAACAAGAAACCTAGACAGGGTAGATCATCTTAGGCAAAGAAAATAGAATGTGCAAGAGCTTGGTGACAGGAGAAATATGATAAGTAGGAAAGGCTTAAAAGAAGGCTATTGTAGCTAGAGCTGAGAGAACAGAAGGGCTGAAATGAGAGGCTTGGTGAGGACACCTGTAGAATCTTGATGGCTGGGTTCAGGTTGCAGACCAAAGGCAAGGATGCCCTTGAGGAGTTTCAGGCAGAGGTTGTATGATCAAATGCAGTACTTTGACTGCAGTCAGAGAAGAAATTAGACAAAGGCAATCCTGAAGGTGAGGGCATTGGGCATGGAGGCTTGCAGTTATCTAGGCAATGCATGATAGTTCTCATGAGCCTGGGAGTTGTGATAGAACAGGGAAAAGGAATTAACTCAGGAGATATTTAAGAAATGTAATTTTTGACTGATTGGAAACAAAGGGATAAAAGAGAAGGAGTGATAGATGTTTTCCACATTCTCACTTGAACACTGAGTGAAGATGATGCCAGCCCATGAGATAGGGAATATGGGAGAAGGAAGAAGTAGATGAGAATAGTGAATTCAGTTTGGGTCAAGTTGAGTTTGAAGTGTCAGAGGAGTTCAAGTGAAGGAGAAAGCATTTGAACATAGAGGTCTGGCGGTCACATGAAGGGTTGACTAAGAGGATACATGTACAGGTACGATCTATAGATAGATGGAATTGAAGCAACTCTGAGCCTGGGCAAGATTGAGGTATTTATAAAAAGAGAAAAGATCTGATATCTGAATAATGCCAATACTTAAGGATAGAGTGGAGGAAACAATTGTAAGTAACAAAGACATAGGAAGAAAACCAGGATAGGATAATCCACACCGAGAAAGCCAAGAAAATGAGAGGATAAAGTGTTGAATGCTGTGAAACATCAAGTAGGACTAGGCAGAAAAACATCTATCATAATCAAGAGAATTATGATGAGATCATGTTGAAAACATTTTTGGTGAAGAACACAAGACATATTGGACATACTGGAATGACTTGAAGGGCCAATAAGAGATAAGGAAATGGGGAACATTCAGTCAAAGAGATTGTGTTTACATGGATGAGTGAGTAGAGTTCTACCATAGAGGAACAAATGGAGCTGAAAGGGGATGTTTTTAGATGGCCAGGAGTTGATGAGCTAGTTAGTTGTATTTGATTGCAAGTAACAGAATACCTAGCTAATAATAGCTCCATTAAATGCCTTTATTGTTTATCTCACATAAAAAGAAGTCTGGAGATAATGGATTCAGGGTTACTGCAGTAGCTTGAAAAATATACTCAAGCCAGGTTCTCACTATGTTTCCACTCTTGTCTTTCTTAGCATATTGGCATTTTGTTCTTGTGCTTGACATGCAATGGACACTAACAGGCTTTTTAAATTCCACATGACCTCATTCAAAGCAAAAACAGGGAACATGATTCTTGTTCTCTGTCTTTTATAAGGGAACAAAATTTGTTCCCAGATTTTCTTCACTCCTCCTTCAAATGTCTTTTTATATCTTGTTGGCTAGAAATGAGTTATTTGCTTATTTCTAAATGTACCATTGGCAAAGGAGAATGCAGTGACCAAGCGTGGTTTAGACTAGGGGTTCTCAAAGAGTGATCTCTGAACCAACAGCATCAGCACCCCATGGGAACATGTTAGGAAGGCAAATTCTCAGACTCCATTCCTATCCTACTGAATGAGAAATTCTGGGGCTGAACCTAGAAATCTATTTTAAACAATCCTTCAAGCAAGTCTGATGCATTTTCAAGTAGAAGAATGATTTAGATTAATCAGGTCATCCATTGGTGCTAGGGGGAGAACTCATATTCAATCAGCTTATTGCTTTCTTAAAAAGAGTGATCCGTGGCTGTTGCAGATGCAGAAAAGTGTTTGCCATCGTTGGCTATATCTGAACATCAAGAGGAATGAGCCAGTAAAGAGAGAATGAAGGCAAAAGTGGGACAAAGTGAGAAAGATGAGAATGGAAAAGATTCACATGCTCACGAGGAGGGAATGGCCATTCCCTGAAAGGTTTCTGCCTCCATGTTAAGGGGCCTAAAAAAAAAAAAAAAAAAAAGAGTAGATACAGAAGCAGATAGGCTGTAGTAGGAAGATTAGGACTTCCTTTATATTGGTGTCAGATAAAGTTGTCTGCTAAGAGGGAGGGCAGAGATGTGGTGAAGGTAAGATCTAAGATTGTAGACTTAAATACTTTCAGAAAAGAAGAACTCACTAACCTTGAATCTTATGAATGGAGATAAGACTGTGGACCTGCCTGAGGCAGGAAACCTGAGTTTAGAGTGAGTTAACCAACCTAGTTGTGTCATATGCAACAGGATGATATGGGTTTGGAACTGAAGACAGTTTGATTCCTCTAGGGTTTGCCAAGAAGGGTATGACAGAAGGTCATAGGCAAGGATAAAGAGAGAGGTTGAAGTGATGAATCCAGAAGTTCATGCCGGAGGGGAGGGAGAGCACAGATGGGGTACAGGAGAGGGTTGGTCATGGTCACAAAGTCATGATGATGTCTTCCACTTCATACATTTAGTAAAATCATCTCTAATTTTACTCAAATTATCTCTACATTCTTAATTAAGGAAGTTAAAGTTTCATTTTTATTATGTCCTCCTCTCACTTCATTGTGGGAAGTTTGATATTTGTTTGAAGGTGTCACATTTGCAGTGAATAATGGCAGATTTTTCCTTTCCACTCAATTGTAGGACATTATGCAGGAAAATAAGCCAGAGGTTTTAATTTGGCTTACCTTGACTGCTTTTTGACCTGTTCTACTTTTCTTTACTGATGGATACCACTTTTTACAGGTATGATGTTATAGACCATGCACATATCTTGGTACGTCATATGTATAATATAAGAGGAAAGACTCCTTTTTACCCAGCTGAATCTATCATTTTCTTTCCTTGCAGAGAGATAGTTGTAATTTTTTAATGCACTTGAAAACTTGAAAAATTTAACATTTTATTGATATGAAAACAGTTTTCTAAGAGCTGAGAATGGTCCTATTTGGGGAAGATGGCACTCTTCCTCCTTATCTGCATACAAAGTAGCCACTGTACATCCCAGCTGCAGGCCATATTGAACCTCGAGCCTGTTTCTCTCTGCCACCTGACATGTTCCTCCCTGGGTTGTCCTTAAAAAGCACAAACCAATTGTAATCATATGAACTGAAAATAATTAGACACACAGATTTTCTGTTACAAACATCATAAAGTAAATTTCACAACCAGAAAGGCATTACTTTTATACTGTGCTGTGTTTTGGAACATCTGTTGTCGACTTCTTTTATGTTCCCCCCAGTATCTAGTGCTGGAGCATCGCCTTCTCCATGAATGTGACTAAGGAAAAGTCAGATGCCAGCATCTGCACATTCATGATGTGAGTAGGGCATGATGAAACTCTGTTCCTGTTGAACTTGAATCTGCTTCCAAAGGTGATTACAAGGGAGAGGAGCCAAGTACTTTGAGCATCAACAAAATTATTGGAATTTAATTCCACAAGTACAAAGATTTTTCTGACTTGTTCGTGGCTGTATTTCCAGCACTCATACAAGGCCTGGCACATATAGGTGCTCAAATAATGTCTGTTGACCGAATAAGTGATTCTTTGAAGATCAATATTCTTCTATAAATTCTCATGTCCGTCAACAAAATAGGTCTTATTTCTTGGTAGTTATGCTGGTGATAGAGACCTGCATTCCCAGGGAATGGGAAAAATGCAAAATATATTCATTTACTTATTTACTTTTATAATGTTTATATTTAGTTGAGATGATCCACATATTGCTATGAATTTTTACATATATATAGGTATCAGAATCCTTGCAGAGCAGTTTGGGTG